TATTTAGCCCCTTTCCTACATTAATACTTAATTGGTTCAGGTACAAAAGCATAGCTCAATTGTTTCTGTGTGAATTCAATGTGGTTTAACTTGATATCAGATTAAATACATCTGTTAGTTCCCTCAGATACAGAATTCCAAGTGACAGCTCATAGAAAGATATGACAAGTCAACCATGAAGACCAAGGAGCTTTCAAAACAAATCAGGAATAAAATGGTAGAGAAGCACAGATCGTGAGATGATGACTTGTCCCCATGAGTACTTTGAAGTCCATCATTAAGGAGTGGATTGTGCATCACACCACCCACATAGTGTCTCCATCAGGCTGCCCTTCCATACCGAGCAGCTAGGCAAGCAGGAAACTGGTTAGGTTTGCAACTGGGAAGTCAAAATTGACTTTGAAAGATTTACGAACTTCTGAGTCTGATCTGATGGCCGCATGGCGACACGAAGTTGAAGGGCAGCCTGGTAGAAGATCAGGTGAACCAGTAGCTGCTAAGGCAAGTGGTGTTAGACTGTGGAGCAGGGTGTTCTCAGTAAAGTCACCTCGAATTTGAGCACTCCACATTTAATACGCTGGGGGACTCAGTGCTCCAAAATCTAGTAGGTCATTGCCGTGTCAGATTGATGTAAGGTAAATAAAGCAGTTGAGCCATTCCAGCCAACAGGGAAAGACCGGGTGTCAGGGTTTCCACTGCTGCTTCCAATGAGGGAGCAGAGTTTGAGACAGCTGTTTGTATCCTGATGCGTGAAGTCTGTGAGTGAGGGTCCGTGGGGTGTAGACAGTGTCAAACTCAACGAAAGCTAGGAATTGGTGCATGAGTTGCTGGGATACCGTGAGCGAAGGGCTCAGTGATACCATATTTCAACCTCGAGCATGACCCCAGAGGGGGACATACAAGCTAGTGCTGAGGAAATGAAAGAGTTGTGGCATGCTGCCAAGGGTGGTGTAGCTTGGCAGATGTGTCTCTGTGCCTGGGTAACCACGAGCAAAGAGCTCAGATGGAGTTTAGACAAATTATTTGGAAGAAACTTGATTAAAACACAGTAACCTTAAATTTTGGCATATTACCCCGGAAGGGGGCCATGTACTTTCGGAGAAGAGTACATGAAAAGAGGAAGTTAGCTCATGTTATGGCGAAAAAATGTACCCAACAGTTTGTGGTAGGCCTGTGAACGGTCTGCCTGGATCAGTTCCCTTAAGTGTAAGCTGTGCTGTGCCGTCACACTACATAGAGCTGGTCTGTATAGCTGAGTGGCTAAAAAGGACCCTTTATCAAAAAAGACTCTCCTTAAATATTCAACTGCAGACATGTGGCAGGATGTTTTATGGTCAGAGGATATGATGTCACTTTTTGGTCTAAGTGCAAAATGTTATGCCTCACACACTTCCTATATGGCACATTATACAGTACACATACACATAGAAATATGGTATATTTTTAAATGATGCCTTGGAACACTGTTGAATTATGCCATAGAATAACATATTTCCAAAGTGCTTTATTCTGTAATGCTTTATGCTGTAATTGTTAAAGTATTCCACTGAGTTTGGCATTCTTCTATAAGCAGTGTGCTTTTCATTTCTCAGTGAGACATTAGATGGGAAAGTGCTTCAAATGGTTATGCTGATACTGTTCTCTTTCATTTGAGGTAGTAATTTAAGCAATAATGTATTCCCATTTTTTCAAACATTCTGCTTTAACAGAGAACCTAACCAGGTTAAATGTTATCCCAATGACACCCTCTTCTGTGAACACTATAGTCTGTTGAAAGAGAAACAAAATTGTTGTTTTATTTTCTTCATTGAATTGCAAGCCGATTGTCTGCTGTGTTAATGGTTCCCCTTTCTGGCTGTGGTTCTGCAATGGTTCTGTATTTCTGAACTAGAATGGTGAAGGGCTAGAACAAGTTGTCTCTTTAAGTTTCACCTCCTAAAGGTTAATGAAAAGAGGCATGACAGTGCGATTCTGTTCTGACATCAAGTCAATAATGTATTGAAAATAAGAAATGAAAGGGATTCTATATTTCTTCTGTGCAGCATTTATAATATACTGTAAATATAATACAATTAATAGTTTGTTAGAGAAATCAAGAACAGCTAAAAAATATCAGTAGGCAGTTGTAAACTCTCAAGTAAGTAGCTGCATCAGCATGCGTAGGCTGCATAGGAACAGGTAAAGGTTTGTTCCATGCTGAATAATTTTTAATCAAAATTACTCCCATTAATGCCCAGGTTTAGTTCCAACATGCTAATATTAAAATTTTGGTTTTTGATAGTTTACTTAAAATATAAAGATGCATGTCATTGTAGGACAAAGGAAATTTATATTTATACACATTTTAAAATATACAGTATAACTAGCCCATAGTTTAGAGGTGAATTAAAGTTCATCTCAAGAAAACAACTGATAATGGAATTTGCACAAAAAAATTCAAGTTTAAAGCTACTGTATGTAATTTACAAAATGTCTTGTGGGAAACATTTTTTTCTTGAAATATACTATGGTTTCAGGGTTGATCACACATCTTGTTAAATATTTCCATGATAAAATGTCTGTTAATGAGAAAAGAGGAAGTTAAAAGTATAATTATGGGCTGAAAATATTGCATTTAGTTTTCAGTAGATAAGGAAAACATTATGAATGCATGCACAATATGATTACGGCACAAATATACTGTACCTTTCCTTAGTGACGGTCTATGTTGTTAACTTAGTTATGTACTGTATAAGAGCATTACTGCTATTTAAGCTTGTTTATAAGTATGTCAGATGTGCAAAACCAAGTACAAATTGCTATGAAATCACACTTCCCCACCAGAATGACTTCAGTCAAAACAGTCAAATATATGCATAAAAATACATAGCCAGTTCAGCTAGTTCTAAGGTTATATCATGTTCCACTGAAATTCATTGGGATCTTGGGATATTTTTACAAGTAAGTTTAAATAATTTGTTCTTTTCTTGAGGGCATAAAACAATTTAGTAAGAGAAACATGTGCTCTACATACAGTATGCTGTAAGTTAAGCTTAAACTAAAAGGTGACTTGCACATTTGGTTGCAAACTTTGCACAAATGTGTTCTTTTGACCTATCTTATAATAAACGCAATGCACTTGTTACAAAATCCTACTTTGACAATAGGCTTTCAAAAAATCCCCACATCTCATGAATTTCTCAGAAATGTATATTTCTTTTTATAAAAAAATATTTGAGCAGTTGTGCTGGGAAGCTAGAGGGGCGTTCAGAGTTGTGCAAGTCACATACTTAAAACATACTGGCTATTGTACGGTTCATACACATTATTGAAAACAGCACATACTGTATTCTGTACTTGCAATTCAAGTGTTTGCATCATCCCACCACACGTCAGTGGGGAGGAGAACAAAGTAATGAAACCAATTTAAAGAGGATTACGAGGATTATTAGGAGGGAATGATTGATAAAGGCCAGGTGGAAATTTAGCCAGGACACCAGAGTAAACACCACTACTCTTCTTGAAAAGCACATTTTTAAGTACCACAGAGAGTCAGGCCCTCTCATCTCATCATCTCATTCAGTTTTACTTCTCCTCCAAAGGACAATGCCTTTTTACAGTATAGTGTCCCCATCACTGTACTGGGGCATTAGGAGCCATACAGACTGCCCATCTACTGGCCCCACTAACACCACTTTCAGCAGCAATCTTAGTTTTTCCCAGGAGGTCTCCCATCCAGGTACTGACCAGGCTCACACCTGCTGAGCTTCAGAGGGTTACTCATTTTGTGTTGCAGGGTAATACAGTATAGCTGCTGGCTAGCACCTAGAATTTCCATTCCCAATCTGATGTGTTCCACACCACAGCCTCAGATAGCCAAAAAAGGAGCACAGTGCTATGCAATTATGACCCACAGGGAAAAAACTACAATCACTGGTTAATGTTATGGTGACTTCCTGGACCACCTTTGTAAAATCATCCATAAATTATGCTGTTTTATGTTGACCTACTGTATGGTTCACAAGCTACCTCACCAGTGAGGTACGTCTTAAGCAGATTAATTATTAACTTCAGCCCCAAGTACAACATTTGTTTTGACATCTGACATCATTTCTACATGTTACAGTTTCAAGAATTCCTTGGATCCTGACATTCAGGAATGGTTGAAGAAGCCAACAGAAGAGATCTGTAGTTGAGGATCTCTGGTTTAAAACACAAATAAATCTTTAAATACCCGAGCGGCAAAACCTTCTGAATATTCCTTACACTCTGTGTAAGGGTGGTGCCATAGTGTAGTGGGTGTGCCTTTAATTGCCGGATGACTGACAGGATGTGGATTCAAGTCCTGGCTATCTAACCCTTAAGTAAGATACTTTATCCACAGTTGTTCCAGTCCTTTATATACTGTATATACTGTATAGGGACCTGCACTGCTGGGGGTCATCCCCGAGATGGACCAGCGTTCCATCCCTAGAGGAAGTCTGCTTAATCCTACCAGAAACAGGATGAGCTCTGGCGCAGTGAGCCTCTGTGATTCTGTGATTCAAGTGCAATTCTGAAATGCACTTGAACTTTACTTAAGGGGGTTTCGAAAGTTGTGTTGCATAGTGTTTGCATAAGGGATTACCGTCATGTAGGGTTTGTCTTTATTTCTGCTTCAGCTGATTATCCCTAACATAAGTTGCAGTTTTAAAAATGAAGGCTCAAGTGGGGCACTGCATGTACTGCACAGGAACAAGCAGAGGTTAATGTTGTGCTGGACAACAGAAAAAAAATGTTTCAGATGCGAGCCTTACTCAGATGTTCAACATTTGCTTTTAGTTTCACGACTTTGTGCGAAAAGCTTTCAGCAGAATCACTGAGATCTTTTTTTTTTCTCTCTGAAGAGATGCATCAGATTGGTTGATGAGCCCAATATGAGAAAAGATGTGAAGTAAAAGAAATAACTCACATTTTGAGGAAATGAATGATAATGAAAGTGAAACTCAGTGGGATTAAATTCAATTTCTGTTCTCTTACAGATAGCTTCATTAGCAGGACCTGGTGGAAAAGTGGAAGTGGAGCAGAATTTTCTCAACAACAAGTTAAAAACCATCACTGCTTACTTTGGCAATTTGATCAGATCTGACTGTGAAGTGTCAGCTGATTATTCTACATAGGTTAAGTGCATACATGCACTGTTAATTATTAATGTGTTTATTACTTTACAATAGCCTGTTTTCTTGAGAACTGTCATATATTAAGACTTAATTTTACATACATTTTTCAGAAGATGCCTACAAGTATTTTGAGAAATGTTACCAGTGTTCTTGATGAATTGTGAATATTAAACCTGTTCTGTTAAGTGCCTCAGAAGCGTTTAATATTGAAACGATCATGTATTTGTTGTGTAAAGTACCTTTTCTATAAAAGTGAATCAGTAATGCTCATGCTATATCCCATTATTGTTTTTTTATTATTTTAAAGATTATTGGATTTTTGAACCCATATTCATGTACAGTATATGGTAACAAAGCTTGAATGTTACTATTGGCAGTTTTATATATTTTTTTGAGGCATATCGATCAAAGTTCCTATTAAAACATTATATTCCATAACTATTTTTGTAGATTTTCTTAATACTAGTAGTTTGTTCACTGGTGGAGCATATTTCAGTTGTCAGATGTTAACAGCTAGATTTGTTGCTACACAAAATGTTTTCATTGTACAATTTAAGGATGTGAGTTTTTGTGACTTTGGAAAAAGCACTAAGTTGGCAAAGACAAGCTTTTTCACATGTCTTTTATAAACGGATCAAAGAGATGGAAGAAAAAAAGTTATTTTTTGGGGTGTGTATAGATGTAGCACCAGAAATGGCCAACACGTTATTCCATGTTTTAAAAAAGGACTATTTCATTTTTTAGTTTTTTTTTTCCATTTGATAAAAAATCTTACATATTCAAAAACAGAAGTGTCTTAAGAATAAGCTATTGGATTCTTTTTAATTGGTTTTATTTTAAGGATCCCATCACCACTGTAAGTTTTCTACTTAAAGCAGGAGAGATGGCACAGTGGAGGAACATGAGAAACTTTGTGTTAGCACAGGCTGTGTGTGTAATATCTTCATGTTGTTTGGCAGTCCACCAGAGCTGTACGCCATTCGCAGTCATGGACATTAAGGACAGAAGCCACGTGCTACAAAGTGGATGCTTTGTGTGGATGTAGTTAGCGTGCATTGATTTTTCAACATTGTGCTTCGATGTTGCCACCTTTGTTATTTATAATCTTACCGTTTCAAATCAGCCTTTAAAGACTGAAGATTTAAGCACCTTTTTCAGGAGCATCAAGCCTGCATATTACAATGACTATTCTACTGCCAATGAGGTTGTTTATTCTGGATTTGACAGGTATTATAAACCCTGCCTGACAGCAAAGAAATACAATTTCAATGTGTCAGTGTCCTATCACTGGGCTTTGACTGTCAGCTCTGTGCCACCGCATAACTTGCTTGGTGTAGACGTCTGCCATCTGTAGATGTTGTACACCATTGGCTTTGCTAGCTGCCTCCACCTTCCTGCTTACTCTGTTTTTAACGTGTGTATCCAGGTTACCAAACCAGGTCGCTACAGTGAAGGTGACAACAGATTTAGTAAACATTCTGTAGAATAATGTCATTGCTGTCGTACAACTCGTTAAAAGAGCGGAGTTAAGTCAGGAAAAGCAAATGCCGTTGGTTCTTCTTACATACAGCATCCGTGTTTTCCTCAAATGTTAGTTTGTCGATGAATGTCTGACCCCCGTCTGTCTTCCAGATCCACTTTCCACCCAATCTCTGTGTGCATTGTTTTCAGACCAGTACAGGGCATAGTGCAGGCAGCCTGTTTCCTCCTCATTCCCAGCTGTTTTTCACTCTAGTCAGGGAAAGCTTCATCAAGATCGTTACTTTCTCTTCAACATGGCATAGGCTGTCAGTGGAGGCATTTAGTATTTATCATATATTTCTGGTTGCAGGTGCCATGGAGGTGGAGTGGTTAGAGTTAGTGAGTGCAGCTGAACGTACCCAATGAAGAAAAGAGAGAGGGAAGAGCAGGAGGAATTAGGAAGACTGCAAGAGACCGATGTTTAAAAGATAAGATAGGATCCCAGAGGAGATAAACCACATAAACATACACTGGTGGGCTGGCACGTGTCACACTGTGCACATTTTCTGTGCTTAGGAATGGAAAATCCATGAATGGTTTTCATGAAGGATAGAACTAGACCCCCATGTCCAGCTGGATATAGATGGTTCCATTTCTAAATAGTTTGCCTGCCTGGCAAAACAGGCTTTATTTTCTGACAGCCACATACTGTAACAGTCTTATTTATAACTTTCGTTTTGTAATTTGCAATACGTCCATCCAGAATTAGGAAGTCCGCACTTGTAATGGAAATTGTTGCTCATATGTAAATGAGATTTGCAACAGTTCACTAACATTACAACATAAGTGCATTGATGTCTTTCTTCTTTTCTATGCTGAAAAGCAGAAAGAAGATGCACAACTTTTCAGCTGTGGAGCCTTCACACCTAAAGAAGGCTCCACAGCCAAAACATCATGTTTCTTCTTTCTGCTTTTAACTGTTCATGTATATCATGTTATATCTGTTATAAACACTAGTTTTATTGAAACAGACCTTCATCAATCTGATCAACAACAAATACAAGAATGCAAGATGCGCAATAAGGCTAGACAACGTGCTGCTGATAACATTGCACGGATGACTTTGACCAGGTAACTGCTGATCAATCAGCTGATCGCAGGTGGTGTTTTTCAGATATTTGTGTCTTTTGAACCCCTCACTGCCTTTGTTTAGCACACAGTAAGTTGTTTGATCAATGGCACAGTTTGGGAAATCTGCTCAGGCATATCAGCAGAAGATATCTGGTCTCAGTTGAGCTTGTATGTTGTGTTTAATTGTATGGAACAAGCAACAAAAGAATTATTGTAAGGTGTCGGATAGGAATAACTACATATCCTGTTTTGCAACAAGCAGCAGAGCTCATGTTTGGCAGAGAGTCCAAGGCAAGTGTTCATACATGGCAAGGACATCTGTGTCCAAAACGTCCTAGCCTCAGGGAAGCATGGGCAGGTGAATGGAAGAAGCTGAATTCTACAACCCAGGCACTTCTACAAGCAGTGCCTTCTGCTAAAGACTTGTCAGCACAGCCCTGAGAAGAAGTGGCTGTGAAATTGGATAGAGAGCATGCATGGCCAATCATAGCTTCTACACTGGGCCAGAGTTACACTCCGAGAATTTATCCTATCCAGTAAAGTACATCTGCTGGAACAGACAACATCTGAGGTCTCTTAAGCAAATGAGGAAGTGATGTGATAGAAGAATCATTGGCTGCCACTTCTGTCACTGATTGATCAGGGTCTAAGCAGTCATAGAACCCCCTGTAAGCCACATCAAGAGCCTGAATCATGAGAAAGCCACTGTGTTAAAGAGAATATGAACCCAAGTGATTAACACATAGCTATATACAAGAGGCTAAAAATCCCTCAGCTGCTACGTACAGTAGGTTATCCAGTAGGATTTTTCACTGAAATTAATAATTAAAGTTACAAGTAAAGGTTAGTTCCATTCTTAAATAGAAGAGACAAGATTTTGACTGTAGAGCTGTCTTCTAGTGTGAGGAAGAGAGAAGACGGGTAGAAAGGATATAAAGCACAGGTGAACAAAAGGAAGGAGCAAATGAAAAAAATGCACAGAGCAGGTGAGGAAAAGTGTCCAAACAAACAGAGATCCGGGGGAGAGGTGACAAAATTGGAATGGATATGGCTCAAAAAGAAATCCGTCTATCATTAAAGGGGGTAGGAAGACATCCAAATTTAAGGAAAATCTTGTTTGTTTGTTTTTCCTGAAGCAGTAGTATTGAAACCCCTGTAAAAGGATACAGACAAAACGGTCAGTGAAATCATGGCCAGGACAGGTGAAATGGAGAACTATTTGGGTGGAGAGATTTTTCATCCTTACAACTCTGATGTGCTCCCTGAAACGGTTAGCAAGTTTTCTTCTTGTCTCACCGATGTAAGAGAAGCAAGAGATGCAGTAAATGAGATTACTAGATACATTTCTGAGTGATTTTGAAATGTATGGTACTGGACACACGCATATGCTGGTGATTCAACAGCTTCTGTTACAGCAAAAAAAAAAAGGTGCCTGGTGTGGATGGTAACGGATAAATCAATATTTAAAAACGTTGTTGCTTGTTTGTTCCATACAGTGTCTGTTAATTTATTTTTAGAATTATAACTCCATCGCCTTCGCTCTCACTCCAGGAGACTCATATTACATAGAGCGCCTTCAACGTTTTTAATAAAGTAACTAAGCAAAACAGGCGGTTCGAGTTTTGTTACTCACTTCGTTAATTACCAGATTCTTGAGTTGTGTGGCAATAAATCTGAGCAGACCAGCTGACCTCTCGTCTTCGTAAGGGTTTTGTAAGGGAAGAACATATACAGTAGTTGCTTTTATGGCCTTTGGCCATTATGAGTACGTTTTCCGATTTGCGCTTTTGTTTACTCTATTTATTATATTGATTGTTCAGCTTACTTATACCTAATATAAATTTGCAGAAAAGCAAATAACAGTTTGCTGCAGCATTCCGAAAAAATAAATTAATGGGTTTTTTTATAAAAAAATATCCTTTGAATTTTGGACATAAAAGCATAACACGTGTTTCCTAATTTATATAATTTATAATAGGTATTTGAATTTCCATCCATTTTACAATCCATACAAAATCCATCTAAAACCTCTCAATGCGGTATCAATATTATATCACTACAGATATGCGCCACTGGGAGAAGAAACATGAGTTTTTGTCTGATTTTGTAGAAGTCAAATTCGTGGATTTGTTGTAGCATTAAAAAAACTATTTCGTTACTTTCAGAGAGCAACGCTTTGTAATCGGTCACAGAATCCTTTTACAAATAGTATTAATAACTTGCTCCTCTAAAAAAAAAGTGCATTAATTCCTGAAATGCTTTTTTAATGGTTGGCACTTGCAACTCCAGTATTCTTGCTTTCCCCAGAAATTTTGCTTGTGTTCAAGATAACATAAAGGTCTCCAGAGACCGGACATTTGAAGAGCGCAGGGGTATTATGCAAATAAATGCTAAACATACTGAACATTGTACCAGGAAGTTGCACTAAAAACTCCCAAACCAATTCTGAAAACCAAGTTCCTCATTCTGTGTGCTGGATGTTAACAGCAGAAATTAAAACTGGACTTCATTTTTCAGAAGAATAAATGTGTAAACAGTACGCGTGAAATTCGAAAAATAGTTGATCTGCGACAATTTAAAGGCGCCAATTACTGGACAGAACAAGGATCTATAATTTACAAAAGTAAGTCAATTATTTTGTTATAGTCCTAAACAGTTACTAGTATACTAAGTTTGGTGGTAACACCATTCTGTACTCAATTCTTGACATTAAAAAAAAGATATTTTCTTTCAATAATAGTACCTGAAATTAAGGTGGTAAGAGTTCTATTTGATACAGTTTTTTAAAAACGTTACTTCGGTTCAGCTGTTTGTTTTCCCGTTGGTTTTTACAGTCTATTAATAAAGACAGTATTTGCATCATCTCCATAATCATTATCATCTTTCATGGAAATATTATGCTCCATATCTTCAAAGCACTGTACGTGTAAAGTACATTCTTTTACCGTCTTTTAATAACACAACAGTTTCTAAACCCAAGTAAAATGCAATAAACGTCTTCTAGGAGCAGAGTGTGTTTTATCTGACTTAATGTACAGTCCGTGAATAAGCACTGAAGTAGAGGGCTGTCTTGAAACCATTTGTAGGTGTCGATGTGTGTGCCTCCCAACACGTATGTTTCTAGATATGTTAGCAGAATAAGATTGTATTTCTATGACTGTGCAAAGTGCTTCAGATTTTTAATATCATGGGTTTCTCTATGTAACAAACATCGTATGATTTTTTTTTAAAACAACAAAATATAGCGAATTCTGGGCAATGTTAATATTTTAGAAACTCTTCTTTTGTTAATTTTTAAGTTCACGTTTTATTGTTTTACTTTGTTATGGGGTAAAGTAATGTTAGAGATGTACTTTAATAAATGCTGGCTAAACTAAAACACAAATAGTATAATTTTTGTGTCATACTTGTTGTGTATTTAAGGAAAGATACCATAGCTTTCAGGATTTTCAGGATAGGTAGCTTAAGCAAACCAAACATTACAGTTTTTAACATTTTGTTTAACTGGTTCATAAAGCAAAAACAATACAGAACACACAACAACATCTAGAAATCTATCCATAAATTATTTAGGTTTGATACTATAACAGTAAAAAGTCAACTTGTTCACATTAATATCAATCATTTCAGCAGACTCATTATACACCTGGAATCTTCAGGTGTATAATTTGAAGAAGAGGTGTCTGGAAGTACTGAGATTTTAACTTCAAGACACTGGAACAAAGTGTGTTTATTAGGAATATTTGTATTCCTAATAATGATGTTATTCAATACTAGTTTGCTATAAAATGTAAAGAAAAAAGATGTCATGAAAAACTGAATGTCATTGAAATTTTGGTTGTTTTTTATTCATGCCATCATGAATTATTTACAAGCATGCAGAATTATACTTTTATTAAAAATATCTTGTGGACTTTATCAGCAAAGTTGTTTTTAAATATGTCATGTATTATATTTCTGTAAATGTTTTAGTATGTAGCTTATTATTTGCCTTTCAACAATGGAGAGTAGCTTATAACCCCTAATGCAAAACCCACATACTTCACAGGAAATGCAAGAAAACAGGTGGTCATGTGTTTTAGACACGCATTGCCCAGAGATGGTTTTCAACACTTTTAGCTTGGTATCTTTTCTAAACCACATTGACTTTTCTATACAATAGTATTGTATAATAAATGTTTGTGCTGTCTGATAGTTTAACACTAGTTCAGTACTTTCATAAGCATCACTTCCACAGATAAGATAAAGAATGAGTCCTGTTTGTAGTTTGTGCTGCTGAATACCTTGCTGAAGTATGGAAGCAATGCCTACATATACAATGTATTCTATATCAATATACCATCAATTTACCTTATCTACCTGTATCTTGTTTTGTTGAAATCTTTTTGTACAGACGCTTCATGTCATACTACTTTATGTGTTGTAGTAGCAGGGGTCGTTCTTCGAACGAGTCTTAATTTGTTGGTTTGGCAGGATTATCATTTTCAGACTGAGCAGGTTGTCCTCTGCCGTGGGGCTGCAGTAATGTTTTGCGCTTTAGCTTTGACTTTGTGTGTTTTGAACATAGTATAAGACATAAGAGGATGTCTTAAACAATCAGCACAATTTGTGGCTCACTTACTGCACATACAGTACAGTATTACACTAATGCAGATAGCAGTAAAACCTTACAATTTGGTTCTGTGTCCATTTTATTTAACTATAAGCCACATAAATCAAAATCAGACAGTTTAAGAGTGGAGGTACCAATCACCCTCTGTAGTGCCAAGTTTATAAATGCTGAGTTTGATGATTTGCAAGGTCCGAAACAGCTAATGTGTGTCAAATGGAGAATTTCCTTTTTGCAAGAAGAACTGTGCCGTTGTGACATTTGTGAGGTGTGCTCATTTGTTTAAAACATACATTAAAATGTCCAAACAAGTTGAATGTCATCTGGCATTGTTCCTTGAAAATGCTTGCTAAAATGCCATTAAGAATAGGGATTAGCATTTGAAAAGAGACAAAACGTGTTGATGATGGTATTAGCTCTCAGGTGGTTATCTACATAAGCTTTTATTTTATTGGACATTAAACAGCATGTTATCTACTGTATGTAGTAAGACCCTGCTCACTATCTGAATCAGCAGTCTTCCCCTGACATGTCAGAGTTGTTGCACAAATGGCCCAGCTCAGAGGAGGAAATACAGCACATCAATTGCAGAAGGGTTACCATGATAATCTGACCATAGCACCCTGCCTGTTTCCTGGCTCTCATCTAAAAATACAGTGACGTCTCAGCTCCAGCATTTCTCAATCTAAAGTCCAGCTCTTTCAGTGGTTTCATCGTCTCTTGAACAGCTTTGTTTAGAAACTATGAGGTCTATTTTCTTTGACGCTTTTTATTGTTCTTTCTGATGTGACAGTTTATTTGGGTTCCTACAATTATTTTTTTTTTAAAACGTTGAGCATTTCTCTTTGGTCTCAAATGAAATTTGAGAGAATTAATATGTGTTTGCACAGATTTTGTGGGCTTTTTTGACCACTTTTTAATAACTGTAGTAATGTCCAGTATTGTAACTTTCTATAAAAAATGTCCATAAATGCTCCTTTTGGGGGAATGCTTAATAAATTTTACAGTGAGAGAAACAGGGGGAGTGCTTTTAGCTTTTAATTAATGTTGTAAGCATTTAATTGCAGCTTCTGCCACATTTTATATGATAAATATCACATATTTGACGTGAGACAAAACAATCTGGTGTTGTTGTTTTCTTTCCCTTTGTAATGAGGTAACAGTTCTTTATTAAGACAGAAAAAAGAAGTGGTTTCCAGACATTTTGGTGCCTTCTGAGAAGTGTTTTGACACCTTGACTTTATATTTTAAGATTTCATGACTGTCAGTTTTTCTTTCTTGTCACAATTCCTAGTATTTCTTGGAAAACTGGCCTGATTCATAGTTGGTAATTCAGTTCTTTATCTTACAAGTTGTCATAGAGCATAAGATAAATTGTGGATTGTTTGTTTCAGTGCTCATCCATGTGGTGCAATGGTATTGTAGGCTTACAGTCAGCATTAACACGTTTTCAAATGTTTTTGTTTTAATTTAAGGGTGCATCACTGAGAAGTAGGTTTGTTAGTAGTAGTCTGGTATAAGAACAGTGGTAAGGTTCAGCTCATTGAAGTGGTGGAATACGTTTTTCTTTGTACAGTAGATGTCTTTGGGACTGTATCTCTTTGTGTAAATAAAGGCAGACAGATTCCATAACTGCAATTTAATAATAATAATAATAAGAAGAATATATTCTATATATAGCACTTTTCTGTACACACCACTCAAAGCACTTTACCGGTAATGGGGACACTGAGTAATGAAGCCAGTTCATAGATGGGGATTATTAGGAGGCCAGGGGGAAATTTGGCCAAGTCACCGGGGCGTTAACACTGATGTAACAATTTAAAGTGTTTTGGGTGTGGATTCAGTGAGCCAGTGAGCTGCATCAAAAAGTGATTGATTTACTCAAATCTTCAGCAAGGTGAAAGAGCCCCCAACATTATTTTCCGTTCAGGTGCTTTCATAATGTTCATGGCAATAAGTGCATTGGAACACTGGGCATTTAGACTTTACAAGCCTTCAGCAGTTCAAATTAACAACGGGGCCCTTCTTTTTAAAGATAGGAGTCATACTCTCTTAAATAATGTAAAAGTGACCTTTGTTAGTAACGAGGAACATTCTATACTTTTTAATTGTTTTATTATAATTTACAAAGGCAATGTTTAAAAAGTACCTAGACAATTCTCAAATATCCAAAACACTCAGCTACAAGATTTCAATTACAGTTTTTCAACTTCTTACAGACCAAAATGATTATTTACTGTATCTACATTTGTTATAGTCAGGCATGACAGGGATGCAGTGGTGAGCATTGCTGCCTCGCTGAGCTGGGGCCCTGGTTCAGTTTCTGACCTGGGGTGCTTTCTGTGTGGGGTTTGTATGTTCTCCTCATGTTCAGGTGGGTTTCCTCCCACATTCCAATAACATAGTGATAGGTACAGTACGTTAGCTTCTGGGAAAATGGTCTGTAGGGCAAGTGTGTGTCTGCCCTCCAGTGAACTGGCGTCCCGTCCCGGGTGTACTCTGCCTTGTGCCCATTGCTGGCCAGGATAGGCTCAGGCTCCCCAGCCACCCTGAATGGGAAGAAGCGTTTAGAAAATGGATGGATGGATCTGTTAAAGTTTTAAAATCAAACATAATTTAGGAAGCTAACAAGCAGCCTTGAACGGGACAGGAAAGATTACTCATACATTTGGAAGGAGATATTCCGGTCAGTGTTTACCCAAAATAAATGTGTGTAAGATCTAGATCTCTGAAGTTTCTTTTTGCAGAAGGGTTGAGTGAATTTCTCAGATGTGAGATGACCATGTTTTGTGTTTTGTGCCCCTTGTTTTCAGAAATCACCCTACTCGTTAGTTAAGACACGGTGTTGTGTATGTATTTGCACCGATTGCCTTAGTTAAGTGATGGCAAAGTGATCTGCCAAAAGTTGCTGGTCGGTAGGTTATTTACTATGGGCTTGCAGTGATACAGAATCCATGTGTTGAACACAGAGTTAAATTACATATTTTCTGTAAATAACAGTCCTCTTGTGT